TCGATCTCAGCACCACATACAAACAAAGATGTTGTGTCTGTCTAAAAAAAATAAATATTAAAAAAAAAAAAGTAGAGGGTAGCCAGTGCAACAGCACTCCTGGGAAAGCCTGCATCCAAACCTAAAGGACCCTTTGACTGCAGGAGACAGCAGCAGCCTGACTGGAAACAACCTGTGCAGAAAAGGTGCAAGTTTTGTTTTCAGGCACAGCATCTTGGCTCTATTCTTATAGCTTCTTCCCCTTTAAGATGACAGCTGAAGGCATTCAGAAGGTAGGCACTCAGCAGAGAGGTTGAGAGGCTCTCTTTGTGCTTCATAGCCAGATAGTTCATCATTTGTCAGCTGGTCAGTATTTTCATCTTTAACATCCCCAGATGATCTTTCTTTTAACTTATTTAATTATTGCCATGCTGGGGACTGAAGCCAGGCCCTCATGTCTGCTAAGCAAGGCTCTACAAGTGAGCTATACAGCCTCTCATCTTTCCTTAAAGAGGCATAAACATTTTCCACAAATGTACTGCAAGGAAGCACCAGTAGAATGAAGACTCAAGAAATGGGGAGGTGGCTGGCACACAGACAAGCCCAGTACCTATTGGGAGTTGGGGCATGGGACCGCACAGATCTGGACAGTCTCTGCTGTCCAGATCTGTTGGGAGTTGGGGCATCTTGGGTCTGTGGAGTGCATCTTGGGAGTTGGGGCTTGGGATAGCACAGATCTGGACAGTCTATGCTGGGAGGATATGGACATGTGGGAACAGTTACTCAGGCCCCTTGAACTCACCACCCCAGGCAGTTTCACATAGTGTGTTTGTCCTTTCCTGTCCATGTCTGTTTATTTAGGAAAAGGCCGTTAGAGTGAACATCATCTGCCATCTGCCCCATAACAACTGTGGGTTGTCTTCCTGGGCCCCATTATGGGTAACTGTGAAATCCTTTGGAATGGGGATGGGGTTGAGTGGCGGAATGCTTGCCTAGCATGTGTAAGGCACTCGGTTCAAGTCTCAGCAACACATAAAATAAATAAATAAAGGTATTGTGTCCATCTACATTAAAAAAAAAATCCTTTGAAATGTCCTCAAAAGTAGAGTCGCTCAACTTCCTGATTCTTGGGAACTACTAGAGCTGCTGGGTATGTCTTTGAGAAAGGGACAGGGTCTAATACACCCGGTGCAAATGATTGTGCCAGGCTAAAAGTTGTGAAACACTACTACAATCAATTTCAAAACTGTTGACTCTGGGTGTCAGTGGCCCACCTTGACCCGAGGGTAGCTGCCAAGCACTCCCCACCAGTATGGAGATCTTTTATGTTGCTCGAACAGACCTTGAACTCCGGGGCTTAAATGATCCTCCTGCCTTCCAGGTAGCTGGAACTACAGGGATGTACCACTATGCCTTTCTAACTGCCCACGAGTCTTGATTGCCCTCTTCAGGTTTCTGGGAGGACAGATGGTGATGGGAGCTGATTGAGATAGGTGTTCACAGTTTGTTTTTGCAGGGATACTGTCTAACCAAGCTTATGAGGGTTTTAGGGGATGCTTGGGTATTTTTGTGTTTGTTGAGTTCAACTCAGGGACACTCAACCACTTGGCCACATTCCTAGCCCTGTTTTTTGTTTTTTGTTTTTTTTAAGAGACAGGGTCTCCCTGAGTTGCTTAGCGCCTCTCCATTGCTGAGACTGGCTTTAAACTCAAGATTCTCCTGCCTCAGCCTCCCAGGCTGCTGGGATTACAGGTGTGTGCCACTGGGATTAACTGCTCAGGTGTTCTTGTTGCTGCTTTGGGAAAGAAGACCTGACCCTTGCCCAGGTGCATGTGCCATTTGTGCAGAAAGGGATGTGGCTGATCCTTGAAGGCTGCTGGATACACATATTAAGAGCACATGGCAAGGAAGAGCTTGAGATGGACAGATTCTTGCTGTGATAAAGACAGCCTCTTCCCCTGACTCCAAGAAGAAAGAGAATCTTTCCAAAGGGCATACTCTATCATCAGGCACAGCCAGGGTGGACTGCAATTTTCAGGCAGCCAGGAAGATCTGGTTGGCAGAGAGAGGCCCTCCTGAATGACTGAGTTCCCCTGGGAACTGGAAGCTGTAATTGTTTTTCTGGGTCTTGCCTCTTTATGGGGAATGGTATGTCCAATATCCTTTTTTGAACAGGGAGGACTTGAAGCAGTTTTTTATTTATTTTTTTTAATTTTGTCTTACTACAATGTTTTTCTTTCATTTCTCCTCATCATCCTCCTCCTCCTTCTTTATTTTATTTTATTTATTTATTTATTTATTTATTTATTTATTTTGCTGTGCTGGGAATGAACCCAGCACCTTGTGTATGGCAGGTAAGAACTATTATTTTGAGACAGGGTCTTGCTAAATCACCCAAGCTGGCTTTGAAATTTTGAACCTCCTGCCTCAGACTCCTGAGTATTAGGATTATAGGCATGCATCACCATGCCTGGCTGTTTTGTTTTTGTATTTATCTTGGTAAAATATACTGGGCTTATAATTTATCATTTTAACCATTTCTAGGTGTACAACTCATTGGCACATAAAACCAAAATTTTTGAGACCAAGGGATCTGTGAAATAATAGGGTTTATTGACCTGTGATAGATGCCAGCTAGAAAAGGAAAGGACCAGTCCTGGGACACATTCCCCAAACTCAGCATTGGGGACAGGTAGCAGTTGGAAATGTCCATCAGACAGGAGCTAAGAGCTTTTTTTCCTGAACTCTGGGGGAAGGAAAAACACTGTAACCTACATTGGCTATAGATGAAAAGGGCAGGATAACTCCAAGGAAGCAAGATATTGGGATAAGATAGTTTTTAAAGAGAAGCGCTTGTTGCTTCTGGATTGGTTGGGATTAACAGTCCAGAAAACTTATGTGTACATAGGCCGTGATGGCCCTGGTAGCAGCGATAGAGTTTAAGTCAAAGTTTCAACATTAGGAATTTTGTGTTGGGAGAGTGAGTATTGGAAATTGAACCCAGGGCCTCACACATGTTAAGCATGTACTCTACCAATGAACTATATCCCCAGCCTAAGTTTCAACAGAGTTTTTATTGGTTTTGTAGGCAGCTGTTAACTGATTAACTTGCCCTATCTTTTTCTCCCTTTATCCTCCGGCCTTTGTAGATAAATTTAGGACAAAAATTTTAGAAGTTTTATCAAGTATTAAGTACATTCACAATTTACAATGTTGCATAATCTTTAACCACTATTTCCAGAATGTTCTATCATCCCAAACACAAATCATACCCATTAGGCAGTAATTCCCCTCCCCCTCCTTTCAGCCCCTGGTAACCTCTAGTCTACTGCCTATAGATTTTCCTATTTATATATTTCATTACCTGTAATCATACAGTGTTTAATCCTTTTGTGTTTGACTTTTTTTCACTTATATAATGTCTTTAAGGTTCATGCATGTTGCAGCATGAATCAGGACTTTATTCATTTTAATAACTGTAATATTCCATTGTATGAATATGCCACATTTTTCTTATCTATTCATCTGTGGGTAGACATTTGGGTTGTTTCAGTCTTTGGGCTATTGCAAATAATGCTATGAACATGGGCTATTGCAAATAATGCTATGAACATGGGCTATTGCAAATAATGCTATGAACATGAGTGGGCGAGTGTATGTTTGAGTCCTTGCTTTCAATTCTGTCTATACTAGCAGTGGAATTGCAATATCATACGGTAATTCTTTGTGTACTTTTTTTTTTTCTTTTGGTGGAACTGAACCCAGGTGATCTTACCACTGAGTTATATCCCCAGCCCTTTTTGTTTTTTACTTTGAGACAGTCTCACTAAGTTGCTGAGGCTGACTTACCACTTGTGAACCTCCTGCCTCAACCTCCTGAATTGCTTAGATTATAGGCTTGTGCCACTGTGCCCAGTTTGGGAAATAGTTTGATGGTTTCGCAAAAAGTTACAGAAAGAGCTGGTTGTGGTAGCCTAAATCTTGTAATCCCAATAACACAGGAGGCTAAGGCAGAATGAGCCCAAGTTTGAGGCCAGCCTCAGCAATTAAGTGAGACCCTATCTCAAAATGAAGAAAAAAAAAAAAGTGGGGCTGGGGATGTAAGCCTGTGGTAAAGCAGCCCTGGGTTCAGTCTCTAGTACTGCAAAACAACAACAAAAGTGTTTTTCCATCTCCATTTGCACCAATAGTGGATGGGCCAATTTCCCCACATCCTTGTTATTTTTATTTTAAAAAGAAAAAAAGCCATTTTCATGAGTGAAGTGTGGTTGTGATTTTCATTTCCCTAATGACTAATAAGGCTGAACCTCTTTTTATGTTTATCTCCCCTTCCACATTCCCCTAAACTGGCTATGGAACCTAGGGCCTCCTGCATGCTCTATCACTAAGCTACACCCAGCCCCAAATTCCATTTTTAAATGGAGTCTTGTCATTTTATTAGGTTTTAGGGATTTCTTTATATGTTCGTAAATTAAACTCTCAAAAGATTGATGATTTGCAAGTATTTTCTTTCATTTTTCATTGTCTTTTTTAGTGATTTGATGCAGGAAAGTTTTTAATTTTATTAAGGTCCAACTTATTTTTTGATTGTTGCCTGTGTTTTTGGTGTCACGTATAAGAATCCACTACCAAATCCAAAGTCACTTATGTCTACAGTTTATTCAGAGCTTTATAGTTTTAGCCCTTAAAGTTGGATGTTTCATCCATTTTGAGTGTTAAGATTTTGTTGTTATTGTTGTTATTTAATTTTTGCATATGGTATGACATAAGGGTCTAACTTCATTCTTCTGCATGTGGCTATCATTTGTCCCAGCACATGATAGCCACATGCAGAAGAATGAAGTCATATCATATTTTTCCCACTGACTGGTTTTGGCACCTTTGTTGACTATAGATGAGGGTTTATTTCTGGACTCGGTTCTAGTCCATTGGTTTATATGTCTGTCTTTATTGCCATTACCAAAGTATTTTAATTACTGTAGCTTTGTAGTGAGTTTTATTTTATTTATTTATTTTTGCAGTACTGAAGATTGAACCCAAGGATTTATACGTACTAGGCAAGAGCTCTACCATTGAACTGCACCCCCAAGTCTTATAGTGAGTTTTAAATATAAAAGTGTAAATCCTGTAATTTGTTTTTCTTTTTCAAGTTTGTTTTGGCTATTCAGGGTCCCTTGATTCCATGGGACTTTAAGGCAGGTTTCTCTTTTTCTGCAAATATGTCCTTGTGATTTTTTTTTTTTAATTGGGGATTGAGGCACTATCACTGAGCTACATCCCTAGCCCTTTTTATTTTGTTATTTTTTGAGACAGCATCTTATAAAGTTGCTAAGGCTGGCCTCGAACTTGCCATCCTTCTACCTCTGTAACCAGTAGATCTGCCTGGATCCTAGATGGCTGGATTTAGCTTCCCACCTGTGTAAAAATTAGGCAAAAGATGGAAAAAGGAAATATAAAATTTATACAGTTTTGTCAAACTGGGGAGAAGCAATCCAGTTGGAAGCTTCTCCCCATGACCCCACAAAAGCAATTACTTACAGAAACAAAAGCCAGGTTATATACGTATGTAGGTTTAGTTAACCTTTCAGGCCATAATGGGCAATCTCTTCCCATCTTCTTTGGCACCTGTCAGGGTCAAGGGTCACAGTCCTTTAGCTTCCTTCTTTCAGCAGAAGTTCTTAATTGGTGTGTGTGTGTGGGGGGGTGCAAATTCTGTTTTACCTCAGCTGACCCAGTAGCTGGGATTACACTGTGCAGTGACCTTCTATATTTTTCATGCTCTTGTAATCAACTAAAGGTATAATTCGGAACCAGGTTCAGTTGTACATGTCTGTTAATCCCATTGACTAGGGAGACTAAGGCAGGAGGATTGCAAATTCAAGGCCAGCCTGGACAATTTAGCAAGACCCTGTCTCAAAATAAAAATAAATAAAAAGTCTTAGGGTAATAACTTGGTGATGAATGCCCTGGGGTTTAATCACACACACACACACACACACACACACACAACTGAGAGGGAGAAGAAGAAGGAAGGGCAGGGGCGGGGGGAAGAAGAAGAAGTAGTTGAAGTTGTAATCTATGCAGGCCTGGGTTATAGCCCAACCTCTTGCCCAGAACTCCTGGGCAATTAAAAATTCTAGACAGCGACTAATGTCTGCACAGTGTCCTTTAATATCCAGGATGGCATGATTCATACCTCCTCATGAGCGGACAGGACCGGGGCCAACCCCAGGTGGTCTGCAAGAGCTGCATTTGGTTTGCCCTGCTTGTTCCAGGCTTCTGGCCTCTGGGCCTTTTTCCTGTAAGCTGTGCATTGGTCATGCTGGTCCATTGTTCTCTTAGATCATCTCTTTTTTTTTTTTTTTTGGTGGTGCTGGGGATTGAACCCAGGGCCTTGTGCATGTGAAGCAAGCACTCTACCAACTGAGCTATATCCCCAGCCCTAGATCATCTCTTTCTTATTGATTTATATGTATTCTTTGTAACTAGCCCTCCATCTTATATGTAATTTCCAAGTTTTATCACTGATCTCCTGGGGAAAATATGGCCCTGGCAAAATGGTTCCTTTTTCCTGCTTTTCCTAAGGTTTGGGTTCATGTGCCACCATAACTCACAGGGCAGTGCAGATAACGACCAGAGAGACTTCTCCGGAGTCCCTGGTTGGGGGACACTCTACCATTACCTCTCTGAGGCCTTCTACAGCCTCTTCTGAGGCTGGTAAGGTGAATTGCTACCTTCAGCAAGATGGGGAAGGCCTGGGCAAGGCTGGCCTATGGGGAAGGGGTTTGGATAGTTGGACCTTGATAATTTCTGGATTAAGGTTTCTGTTAATGATTATCCAAAAACAAAATTGAGCTCCACACAAATATCTGCTTGGCTGGTAAGCTCAGAGAATAGAGTCTAGACCCTTTCCACATCTATGAGAACAGGAGCTATTTGAAACATCTTTGAAGATCATTTGGCTGATGGAAGAGGGCAGGATGGATTCAGGTCTAGCATGTGTTCAGTGTAAACTGGCTTTATGTCCTGAGACTACCTAGAAGTCTAGGTGCCCATAGGCAGAGCCTCAGCTTTTCTATTTATTTTCTGCTCTGTCTTCTGAGTACTTTTCCCCACCAGTGATCCTGGGGTTTAAAGCCCTGAAAATGTCCTCAAGCAGTCTCCCCACAGAGAGAGGAAGCAGGTCCTGGGCCTGACTCCTTTTCCCTCTTGGATGTGCCTTTCTGTGCTTTTAATGGAAAACTGGATCTTATATAGTTGCAAGGGTTTCCCAGGCCCCATCCCAGAAAGACCTGTGAGTGACTATAGGGACCCTGAGGGAAGCTTGGCAGATTTCTCTTTCTTATGTTACAGTCTCTGGCCTGAAATGATGGGCCTTTGCTCTGAACATTGTGAACTCAACTCTATGCCAGCTGAGGGACCCCTGGCTGAGCTTCCTCAAGGGCTACCTGCCAATAGGATTTCAAGTGGAGCCATTTGCCATGATTTCAGATATCATTGTGCCCCCCTCCCCTTTTTTATTTTTTATTTAGGCACTCAGGGCAGCTCTACCACTAAGCCACATCCCTAGCCCTATTTTGTATTTTATTTAGGGACAGGGTCTCACTGAGTTGCTTAGTGCCTCGCTTTTTTGCTGAGGCTGCCTTTGAATTCATTATTCTCTTGTCTCAGCCTGCCAAGATGCAGGGATTACAGGTATGCGCCACTACGCCCGGCTTTATCATGCCACTCTTGTGGTCAACAGATATGGTTTTGCATGTCTCACTTACCTTGTGGTGTGGGCAGCAGGGCCAACCTTGCTCCCTCTGGAACAGCACTCCATGAGGAGAATGGCTGTCTTTGTGTATCTATCCTGGGCACTGCCTCTCTCCTTACCCGGAAATACAAGGCCACACAATGGGGGCTGGGGGAATGGAGCTCAGTGATAGCACTAGAGCATGTGTTGGCATATGTAAAACCCCTGGGTTCAATTCTTAGCAACAACAAAAAGGGTCATGTAAATCTGTTGGCTGTGCGGACTATGAGTGTCCAGTGAAGGCTTCCCTGGTGGGGCCAAGGGGGCTCCACAAAGTGTGTGGCCTCCTCTGTGCCTTGTAACCTCTCCTACCCCTTAACACTTCTTTGCCTGTACTCCAGGCTGTGGAGCCTTCCTAGACCTGAGTGTCTTCTAAGGTGCCAGGAGGTGACAACCTTGGTCTATATTTACTTCTGTATTATGTTTTTGTTTTTACAGTGCAGGGATCAAACCCAGGGCCTCATATATGCTAGGCAAGTGCCCTACCATTGAGCTGCATCCCTAGCCCTTGATCTTGGTTTTAGAGGGTCAGTGGACTAAAGCTGTTCCCTACCTCAGTTGGGCAGGTTGCCTCACACACACACCCCCATCCCAGTCCGTCTGATGCAGGGAAGGGAGAGATTCTTGTACCCTCCCTTAGAGCACGTTTGCTGTTTAGCTGGGTTCAGCTGGGTGGAATGTAACTAATACAAGGCTGAATAACAAGATAAAATTGCACAAGTTTTATTAATTTTACATGCACATTGGGAATTTCTACACAATAATCAAGTGCAAAGACATGATCAAAACATGATATTTTCATGCTTCTTTAGACAATGATAAATTTGTAAGGAATTTTATGATTTCTGACTTGAATAGTAAATTCTAGGGATATCACTTAGAGATACATGGGGGGTAGTCTAAGTTTTATTTAGGTTCATCACAGCCCCAAGTTACTCTCTCGGTGGGGGGGTGGAGAGTATGTATGTATGTATGTATTTATTTGTACTAGGGATTGAACACAGGGGCACTTAACCACTGAGCCACATCCCCAGCCCTTTTTTATATTTTACTTAAAGACAGGGTCTTGCTGAGTTGCTTAGGGCTTCACTAAGTTGTTGAGTCTGGCTTTGAACTTGAGATTCTCCTGCCTTAGCCTCCCTACATGTAGGCCGCTACATGTAGGAAAAGGGCCATGTGGCCCTTCCTACAGTCATAGTTCTTCTTTCAGTTTGAACTAATAACAGTTCAGCATATTCTGAGATGGCCTGTCCTTAACTCCTTCACTGGGAAGGATCCAGACAGGGAGTTCTGCCTGGGCAGGTCTCCATTCAGGACTACCAGAGGAACATGTGCATCCTCTCTGTTTCTTCACAGATGCTAGAGGGGTAGGGTGGTGAGCTTCCCTGGCACTGACCCATTTAGGCAACCAAGGCATGCAACATTGTTTCTCTGAATTTTGGCCCTCCACTGAGGACAGGGTGGTAAGTCAGGAAAAGCACAGAACACTTAAGCCCCTCCCTCTCTGCTCACTCCCTTCTCTGTTCCCTTCTGTGGACTTCCTTTACCCTGCTGCCTCCTGCCCCCCTCCTTCACCAAGCTCCACCTTTTTAGATGCTGGGAGTCCTTCTGCTGTTGGCAGCTGCCTCACTGGGCCTTGTGCTGCTAGTCCTGCTGCTATTACGGAGATACCGGTTGTGCTGGGGATTATTAGTCATCTTCTGGCTTGAGTGGGTCCTGCAGCCAGTCCACAACCTGATCATGGGTGACACTAAGGAGCAGCGTATCCTCCGCCATGTGCAGCAGAACGCAAAGCCTGGAGACCCTCAGAGTGTGCTAGAAGCCATTGATACTTACTGCACGCAGAAGGAATGGGCCATGAACGTGGGTGATAGGAAAGGTAGGTGACCTCTCTAGCAGGCAGAACCCTGGTCAATCAGCACTGTTGCCTCTACAGGAGAGTCCTGTTAAGGGGGTGGGTGGTTGGGTTTGGGAGCCCTGGAACGTGTTCAGGTGGGAATGGGAGACTCGTCAGGACCCTGAGCCACAGGACCCTGCTTGTTGCTCCCTGACCCGGGGCAAAGATTGTTCAGAGACCTGGACACCCATTGCCGGACTCTGCACCCAGACCATTGCTCCAGTGAGGAGAGATGTTTTCCAAAATGTGCTTTGTAAGGAGAGAGCCAGCCAGGGAAGGTCATTGTCCAGGGACATAGGGGTGGGAGTCAGATTCTGCAAAGTCCCTACCATAGATGTCTCCATGGACACCAGTCCCTAGTGACTCCTCATAACCCCATTACTTAAGAAGGCCACAGTAGGAATTACATTCAGGACCCTACACTCAGACAACAAGAGTGGTGCAGCTTCCCTTGACTTTGTCCCACAGTGTCATGGGACCTGCCTAGGAACCAGTCAGTCAGGTTCTCCAGGCACCTCCCCTGGTCTTGGACTCTAGCCCAGAGCACAGATGTATGTTCTGCTTCACCTCCTGGGACAAGACTTCACAGCCCCTGTCTAGCCCCCTTAGATTATATAACTCTTGAGGGAGCCAGGGAGGGTGGGAAAAAGAGGGACTGGTGTGTGCAAAGGCATAGGAGCCTGGAGGACTGTGGAAGTTCTAAGAATATGTGCAGTGAGGACAGGTCCTCAGAGCTGGGGACTTTGAGGGAAGTAAAAGACCCTCTCCAGCAATGGTTAGGGACAGTGGGGAGGAAAGAGGGACCTGTTGCTTGATCTGGAGAGGGGTGGAACCTATGAGTAGGAGTTAAGTTCCCCTTTGTCCAGCCACACTTACATACTCCCCAACTGCTCCACAGGCCAGATTGTGGATGCTGTGATTCAGGAGCACAGCCCCTCCCTCGTGCTGGAGCTGGGGGCCTACTGTGGCTACTCAGCTGTGCGGATGGCTCGCCTGCTGCCAACTGGTGCACGACTGCTCACCATGGAGATGAACCCTGACTTTGCTGCCATCACCCAGCAGATGGTAGATTTTGCAGGTCTGCAGGACAAGGTGTGGCATGCCTGACACAAGTGACAAATGTGGACTTGAAAGGGGAAGGCAAAGAGGTGGGGAGTGCCTAGGGCACACCCAAAATTGATTCATGCATTGAACACATGCTTTGCCTGGGCTTCTTAGTGCTTTCCAGGTCTGGGGTCATGAAAGGAATACCCAGCAGCTTGGGAAGAGTGATATTGCCTGGAAATTCCCAAGGCTGCTCCAGGAGGGAGCAGGCAAAATCCTACAATCTAAAAGAAAATTAATGGGAGACAAAATCTGTGGGTGTCTGGTGGGGTGGTTGCAGGGAGTGGGGTAGGGGGCTCTTATGTGTTCCCAGGGCACAACACCAACACATTGTTCTAGGTCACTGTCCTGGTTGGGGCATCCCAGGACCTCATTCCCCAGCTGAAGAAGAAGTATGATGTGGACACACTGGACATGGTGTTCCTTGACCACTGGAAGGACCGATATCTGCCAGACACACTCCTCCTGGAGGTGAGCTACACATGCCTCGCTAGAATAGGCTCCTAGGTTGGCTGCTGCTGTAGGTTCTGCTGGGACCACCCAGGTCGGTTGATCTCTGCCTCTGAAGATCCATGTACTCTGGCCAAATCCTGCTGGGGCAGTCCAGGGGACATAGGTGGCCCCTGGGGACAGCCTTGGGTACTGCATCAGTTAGCTTTCCAACACTGTGACAAAATACCTGAGAAAATCAACTTCAAGGAGGAAAGATTTTATTTTGGCTCACAGTTTCAGAGGTGTCAGTCAATGATCACTTGGCTTTGTTGATTCTGGGCCTGTGGTGAGGCACATCTTTGGTGGACAAAAATGCTTACCTCATAGGAAGCACAGTGGGAAAGAAAGAGAAAAGGGGAGAAAGGGCTGGGGAAAGATATTTTGTTCAAAGACACACCCCCTGTTATCTGCTTCCTCCAATTAGGCACTACCTCCTAAAGTTTCTACCACCTGCCAGTGGTGCCACCAGTTGGGGACCACACCTTCAACACACAAACCTTTGGGGGACATTCCATATCCAAACTATAATAGGCATTGAACTACACCTAGGGTGCTACCTAAGGTCAGGGAAAGCAGACAACCATGGCGGCCCTGAGGCAGGTGGAGATGGGAGGAAAGGGGTTGTTGGGTCAGGGATCAGATAAAGTAATCTGTTGGAAGCATGGGGGTCAGATTGCCTGAATTGGGAAAATAGGGGTCAGAAAGCCCAGGCTGAAAGGGCACTAGGCTGAGGAAATAGGAAGAGCAGTTCTAGGGGCCACAGCCACTTTGCTGATTGGGTATCTGCTGATACTGGCTCCAGGGAAACCAGTGTGTCCTTAAAATTTGTCTCTTGAAGTTTCTATTGTGGGGGCTGGGGTTGTGGCGCAGTGGTAGAGTGCCTCACATTTGCTAGGCAAGCACTCTACTACTGAGCTGTAACCCTAGCCCGACTTTTTTTTTTCTTGACCAGTTTCTTAAAGGACATTGGGCCCCTAGCACCTCCAAAGGTGACCAACATTTCACTCTTCCTTTATGACATGAAGAACTCATCAAATTTTGGTATCACTGATATCATTGGTCTAACTAAAGGTCAGCTTATATCTATTAAGGCTGACTCCTGAATCTCTGCTTGACTCTAAAACTCTAGGTGCCCCATCTTCCTTCTCATCTTGTACATTTCTGCCCTTTCTTGGTGCCTGAGAACAGGTGCCCTCCTTCTGAGTAGTTCTTTGTTCTAGATATTTTCAGCTTACTTTGCTAGGACATTGTTTTTTTTTTTCCCTAAGAGGAAATACATCGTGATTCATAGTGTACTTCCTGTGCAAATTCCAGATCATGGGGTTGTCCCCTGACCTAAGTGACCTTACAGCTATGTTCTCTACTACTGTAGCCTGGGGGCCCCCTTGGCTTTCTTCCACTGCCAACAGGCTGAAAAAGACTGCCCTCCACCACTTCCAGCTGAAAATGCTGGGTGACTGTTGAACATAGGGCAGCACATCCCTGCAGAGGTGCAGAGTGATGTCTGTCATTTTCAAGTGAGAGCCCCCTCCTGCCTGTGACTTGAGATACCCAAGGTCACTTATCTTTGTTGTTGTTTTGGTAATACAAGTGCTCTATCACTGAGCTATATTCCCAGCCCTTTTTGAGATAAGAGTCTTGCCAAGGCTAGCCTTAAACTTGAGATCCTACAGCCTTAGCCTTCCAAGTCATTGGAATTATTGGTGTATATCCATTGTGCAGGCTTTATTGTTGTTTTACAGTACAAGGGATCAAACCCAGGGCCTGGGTAATACTCCAATCTGGGTTGCTTGTTTTTGCTTTTAATGTTTAAAACTGTACTCTGGCCAAATCCTGCTGCTAAAAACTGCTTTTTAACTTTTATTTTGTAATTATGTGGGGTGGGGGTGGGATACAAAAAGCCAACAACCCTCCATGCTTCCAAACTCAACTCCAAGATGTGTCTGGGGGACCTTTTGCACTGCCTCTTTCCCCACCAGGATACACTTCCATTCAGGTTTCTTTTATTATTTATAAATATTTATATATTTATTTTTCTGATGTGTGCACATCTACCTCTCAGCTTAAACATTTTATGGAGTTTTTCTTCTGACTGCAGACCCTGGGGGGCCACACCTGTTGCAGCATGTTCAATAATGACTCCTTCATCTTGTAGAGAGCTCTGTATCTTCCCATATCCCCAAAATTGGTGGAATAGAGATCTGCAAAAGCATGAACCTTGAGATATCCAGAGAAGTGGGTAGTCTTGTCAGTGGCAAGATCAACTTGCCCCCCAATCCTGTGGGTCACCAGCTCTTGTCTGTAATGACTGTAGCAGCAGCCCAAGCTGCTTAGGGCTCAAGGGCCTGTGTTCCTAGAACTAGTTATCTCAGGAGCATGCTCTGGTTCCAGCATTTCCTCTACTTCCTCATCCAGTAAGCATTTATTGATGGAGATTTATTGCTGTGTGTCACATGTTTTTCTAGGGACTGAGTTGGATATAGGAGTGAATGGAAGGGTGGAGATAGTGATTCAGTGGTAGAGCATCTGCCCAGTATATATAAGGCCCTTGATTTGATCTCCAGTACCATGAACAAAAAAAGAAAAAGAAAGGAGGAGCAAAAAGTCCCAAAGTCCCATCATTTCAGAAAGCTGATGTTCCAGACACAGGACTAGGACCTAACACAACCCTTTCTGACACTGGTTGCTCTGGGGAGAAAATGAGGGAGTGAGAGAGACCTGGTCCCTAGGGCAAGGCATAAGACAGTGCATGAAGCAGCATCTTGGGGAGGAGCACCTGGTTTGGGGTGAATTTTCCTGGCTCCATAGTATAATAGGTTCATTACTCTGTCTGTCTGTCTTCTGTAGGAATGTGGCCTGCTGCGGAAGGGGACAGTACTTTTGGCTGACAATGTCATCATCCCAGGAACACCAGAATATCTGGCATATGTGCGTGAAAGCAGCAACTTTGAGTGCACACATTACAGCTCATATTTGGAATACAGGAAGGTGGTGGATGGCCTTGAGAAAGCCATCTACAAGGGCCCAAGCAGTCCAGTGCAGCCTTGATCGTCTATCCTGCTCTGGGCTCCCCTGCCAAGCCTGGTCCTCCAAAGGGCAAGATAGACTAACTTCTACTAATGCCATTTCTATAATTCTGAGATTGTCCTCAAATCCAAAGCTTACTTTAGGCCTGTAAGGCCTGGGCCTTGCCCATATAGTGACCTCTCTGTGTTGCAGTTCCAGATTGTCACACTCTGTCACGCTCCATAGTATAGGTTCATTGTGTGAAAATACTGCTGACAAAGCTAAATTGAGGGTAGCGGGGATAGCTCAGAGCACTTGCCTAGTGAGGCTCTGGGTTCCATCCTTAGCAACACACACCATAAACACACACACACAGACCAAATTGGGGCAGGTGGTATCTTTGGTGTCACTGACCAGCAAGTGGAATTCCAATAGGGTTTCTATATGGTCCTCAGGCACTGACACCTCTATTAGATCCAGGAAGGGGTGTGGAAGTCAGACATCTACAAACTGCTGTGCCTTCCACTCAGGATGTCCTCAAGGCTTGCTGTCAGTAGGTGGCAGCAAAGTAACTACCAGAATTAACAACTCATATCATACTTTGGACTCCTGAATTTTCACTTTCTTTTTAAGAATGAATCATAACTGCTTTACTAAAATTGGCTAGCTGCAATAATCTTATACTAAAATAATGTTTAAAGGACAAAATAGAAATTAAAAATTAAACGTTGGGCATGGTTGTGCATACCTATAATCCCAGCGGCTTGGGAGGATTATGAGTTCAAAGCCAGTCTCAGCAACAGTGAGGCACTAAGCAACACAGTGAGACCCTGTCTCTAAATGAAATACAAAAGAGGGCAGGGAATGTGGCTTAGTGGTCGAGCACCCCTAAGCTTAATTCCCAGTACCAAAGAAAAAAAGAAAGAAAGAAAAGATTAAGTATTTAGATACAAGATAACTGAGTATAGTTCTTCTCAACTGCCACACTGCTCCCTCTTTCCCAGGACCCTTTGCTAATATCAAACATGCCAATTTCCTCTTGATGGAATGCTAATGCTACAGGTTAGGCTCATGGCTGGCTGGGTCCTGTGTATCACACCCAGCCTAGGATTTCTGGCCATAGCAGTGAAGTGGAAGCCAGCCTTACTTAGTATTACTGAAAAAAAAGAAAAAAAAAAAAAAAAAAAACAGAACAGAAATTGGCCAGCCTTTACCCATCTCTAAGCAGGCACTAGGTAGAGGTGAACGCAGGGCTATGCAAAGTACCTGACTCCCTGGACCCTCATGTGGCACTGTAAATGATTATGTTCCTTCCTATTCCCAGTCAGCTTGGTTTAATGCAAAGGAAGGCAGGCTTAGCCTAGCCAGAGCATTTCTTCTGGCTGCTCAGGTACCCAGTGGTGAAGCAGAGTTGATTTGTGTATGCCTAAATCTAGAGCTGCTCCAGCCCCCACCTTGGCTCTGAGGCCCCAGCTCCTCCAAGTGATCAGATTACTGGCCACCCCAGCAGGATCCCAGTTCCTATACTGGACACAAATATAAACGCTGTCCAAGCTGAGCTCACCTGTGCCCATTCCTGGTCTCAGGGCCAGCTAACCACCCATAAGCCAGCCCACTTCTCTGAGCATAGAGAAAAGGAATTAGCAAGTAGCCAGGGTGAATGGATATGGAGAAATGCCCAAAGGGCAGGAGCAGAGTCTGCACTGGTCAGCCTTTACCTACCCAAGGCTGAGGGAGAAGCCCAGTGGCTTGGGAAAAAGAAGCTGAGCCACACAAAACAGAAAGTTCTTTGTTGCTTTTTTAAAATTTTCTTACAAAAAGTTAGATGTTTACCAATACAATCTTATTTTGGTTTTGTTTTTAATGCTTTTTTTCAGTGTTTTTCTTCTGTTTTTAAGTCACAAACAGCAGGCACTGAACAGCATTCCCTTGGGGGCTGCTGCCAGAGGTCAGTCCCGGAGGTTACTTGAGGTTCTGGGCAGATGCAGATATGGCACCCATAGCAGCCCCAGCTAGAGGCAGTTCAGGGAAGAGTTCCACTATATGGGGATCCTACACATCCACAGATCCCAATGAGTGGTAGAGGGGCAAGCATAGCCTGAACTCCATCTCGCTAATCCCCTGCCTGGGTCAGCCCTCTTGGAGCAGCCCCATGCCTGCAGTCTGCCTTCTAAGCAGGGTAGGGCTTCAGCCAGGGGAGGACTCCACTCTCCATGGTCCCACTTCTTTTCCCAAGCCCCTCCCTCCCTGCCTGGCTGTCTGTCCCCAGGAGTTGCACCTCAGTTCCATATTGCTCCTCTGGGGCACTGGGCACACAGGGTGCTCTCTCCTGTTCTCTCAAAGCAAAACTAGTTACCCTCCCCTGCCACTTCACTGGTCCCCACCCCTGCCCACACACAGCACCATGTCAGTAAATAGCTAACTCTGGCCTAGGGAGTTAGGTCGGGAGAGCAGAGGGAAGAATGGACAGGGTGGGTCAGGAGGGGTGTCCATAAAGGTCCTGGCTCCGGGTGAGAATCTCAGCCGCCAGGGGGCTCCAAGCTCCACGACAGGGTCTGCTCAGGATGGCCCTTCTGGTGATCCCTAAGAACACATGGTTGGGTCCTGGCCCTGAAGAGGGAGATGGAAGGAAGAAAAATGCTGCAACCTCTGGACAGAGATCACTGGCCATGTGAATGTAGATGTGGACAAAAGCAACTACTATGGATCAGGAGATAGGGGCCAACCCCCAGGGACTTGACACTAGGACCAATCCTGACTTGTTGGACCTGGTGGAGTCCTATGCTAGAGGAATTTAAGGCTTATGGGGGACCACCCCCTGCTATGGATTAATCTCCTCAGGACCTTGATTTCACAGTGCTATGAGGCTATGGGCCCTGGGAGGATCCCTGCTCAGATCTCAGTCTGGCCTTCCCTAAGATGGGCATTTGGGCCTGCTGTGCTTGCTGGCAGCTTGGGTCTTGCCAGGGAGCAACAGGGAGAGCAGAGCATGCGGCCAACAGAGATTAACAAGAAGCCCTGCCCAGAGGATAGGAAAACAGTTGGACAAACAACCAGACGAGAACATACCAGGCATGCAAGCTAGACCCAGGAGTCAACGGGCTGAGGCTTAGTGTCCCCCACGGCGTCCACCAGCCTGACCGAAGGCCTGCTGGGCCCGGGAAGAAGGGCCTTCCTGCAGGGGTCAGGCTGCAGCACACAGATGGGTGGATAGGTGGGTGGGCAGGACGATGGCAGAGGCAGAACAAAGCACATTAGTTGCAGCTGAAGGGCGGGGCTGAGCTGGTCAGTGGGGTCAGGGCCAGGGCAGTGTGAGAATGGGCCTGCCAAGGCAGCATGGAGCAACTCAGCTGGCATGGCTCACGTAGGCTTAGGTGGCATGTGGACACATACAAAGGCCTTCACATAAAGCCAGGGACTGGTACAGAGCAGGTGATGGGTGCTGCACTCTCCACTGGACCATGGCATGGACCATACACATGCATGCAGAGAAGGATGCAGAGTCACTTTCTCAGGCTCCGGTCCAGTGCATTGTGTGGCTAGGTGGAGCTCTATCCCCTTTTTCCTCCCTCCCAGCAGGTGGAGCTCTGAACCCAACACCCAAAGGCTGACTGATGTGAAGGGCTGCTTCCCAGGCTTGGTTCCAGCTCCCAGCTGTTCATGGATAAATGTTACCCTAGTCATGCCCCAGGGACCAGATCAAACTGAGTACTACCTAGCTGCTCCTTGGACAAACCCTAGACATACAGCCTCCTTGGTCACCTACCCACAATCACTTACTTTCAATGGTTCCTTCTCTGAGGCCTCCCCTATAGAGTCACTGCCCAGAGTCCTCCGCTCCCTCCGGTCCATGGTGGAATATCCATCTGTGAGTGGGTTAGGGTTGGTGGGGCATGAGGGGAGCTCTGAGGGGCAGGCACTCTAGGAACAAGTTAGCTCCTCTCAGGCCAAACTCAGGAGACCCCTTGGACAGGGAGCTTTTGCAGAAGATCCCCACCTACCAGATCCTTGGAGACCTGTCCTGGTGCCAGCTCTCACCAGTACTGCATTATATTCCCTGGGTATCCCTGAACCAATCTTCTCCAGGGAGCAGGTCCATGGAAGTTCTTCCCAGCACTAACCACACTTACCCCATAAAACCAGCAGGACTGTCTCAGAGCCCTCCCTCCTCCCTGAGGAGGAAACAAGTTCACAGCACCTGCCCTCACCTGGGCCAAGGGCATCCATGGGGATCACATCACGGCTGCCTGGCTTCTCACCATCTGGAAGGCATAAGCAGGTAGCTGGTTACAAGGAAAGGACAAGCAACTGGGGATGGAGAGATGACCAAGGCAGATAAGCCCATCATAGGACTGACCTCAGTGACCTTGGGTGCTCTTGTCACTAATGTCACTGCATTCTTCAGCCCAGCTTCTGCCTGCTGGCACCCACCACCCAGCCTGGTGCCAATATAGACAGCATGGGAAGGAAATACCCAGGAGGATGAGAGCAGGGAAAGGGGCCACCCCCAACCTTGTCACGATCAACGCAGGTGGGGAGCCACTCTTGAGCCTTAGGGATGGACTCTTGTGCCATCCACCTCTTCCTCTGGCCTGTACTTACCAAGGCTCTTGTCTACTAGAGGCAGCGTGCTGTCATCGAAGCCTCCGGGACTAGAAGCTGCCTTGGGTGCTTTGGCTGCTGCAGCAGCCGACTTAAAGAGACACAAAACAGGGGGTGAGGAGGGAAGCAGCACCCTTGGAATCCTGACATGGTATAATGGGAGAGGGAAGGCCAGGGTGGACCACACCTGAAAGCGAGCCTTAGTCCAGCCATCTCTCTGTAGGGCACTACGTAGCTCCTTGTAACTCCAAACAGTCTGAAGCACATGTGATGCTGCTTTTGCCTCCCGAACCGACTGGCTGCAGCAGGATCAGAGGCAGGATCATAAGTTCCTGGGGCCTTCGAGTCTCCCAACCCCACCTCCTGGCCCCACTCCCACCCCCTGGTCCCCACCCCTACCCACCTATTGGCTCCTAGTGCCACCAGCGCGGGCACGCCACGGGCCTGCAAGAGTGAGCGTGCATTATCCAGGCTGTCGGACACAATCTCATGGATGGTGTTTAGAACGGCAACCACTGTGTCTTCTTCCAGGCGGGCTCCGGGTTGAGCTGGAGCCTGAGCACTGCGCACGTTCCGCACCAGTTCTGCCATGGCGTAGCTCCCTAAGAGGCAGGGTCTGGTATTAGGACATAGATAACCTCTGCCCAACTGTGTGGGAAGGAGCAGGGTTGAGGCAAGGGGCATTGCCAGGAAGGCCCCCAGGACGCCATAAGGACCCCTAAGAGCAGGGGGCTGAGCTTCGGAGAATGGGCCAGGAAGACAGTGAGTTCCTGTAGCTGGCTGGGACCAGCCCAAGACACAAGGGCAGGGCCTGGATTCCCAAACTACCCACCCCAAACCAGAAGTGAACGGCCTTCATGGTTCTACACCTTGGCCCTGTCAATGTCCTTACCGATGAGGTCTTTGTTGCGACGGTCCAGTGAGAGGTTGCGCAATGCAATGGCTACAGCACGCACCACCTTGTCAGTTTCAGACTGCAGTAGCTCCACCAGCACCGGCAGCCCACGTTCCTTGCGCACTGTGGCACGGATGTATGTGGCCCACTGTGGCGGTGAGGACAGGGAGATGGGCTGCTCAGCGAGGGGTGGTTCCTCACAAAGTCCTGCCCCAATAGCTCAGCACTACCTCTATCACCCAGGGTGTGTACCTTGAACCTCCCAGACCTTGGGGAGTCACACTGTATCTCACCTCCCCCCGAAATACCCTCCAGCTTGGGCAGGGATTGGGGAAGTTCCCTTCCTGTCCAGGTCATGCTCTCCCTGCCAAAACTGGCCCCTTACCATCCAGTTGCCGGCACTGAGGTTTTGTAGGGCACCTGCTGCAGCTTCCAGGGTGTTGAAGTTCCGACTCTCCGTGAGGAGGGAGAGGTAGAGGCGTACTACCTCTGGCTGGTACAGTAGCTCAAAGCCTGGGTACAAGGACAACCAGAGCCCATAGTCATCCAGAACCCCCTACCCTTACTCCCAAAGCTGTGGTGAACTGGGGCCAGGGATGAGTGTGGAGGAGTCAGGACATGTTTTCTATCAATGTATTGAACCCTATAGCCACCCAAAGAGGAAAATGTTCCCATTTCACAGAGGGGCAAACAGGCTTACTCAGAAGGTAATAGGTTTGGGTGAGGACATTCCTTCCTCAACCATGCTGCCAAAGAAATGGGACTGGATCTGCCTGGAAGCCTGAGCATAGCAGGGGACTTTTGGGGAAAGGAGGTGACAACCAGGACATACCACTAGCAACAAGCCCCACCAGGCCAGGGCACCTGGCTACCCTCCCTGGAAACAGGACCCCTGACCCAACCCAAATGCAAATGAATCTGTGAATGAGGGGCCTGCCCTAGCAACAGGGCCTGCCCTCCCTGCCAACCACTCTTAAGAGCTCCAGTAATTAAGCTGGATTGTGATCATGGCTGCCCTAAGATGGTGCCCTGCAGAAGGATCCAGAGTCAGAGGTGGAAGCAGCATTCCAAGCCTGCCTTTCCCTACTTTGGGCCTCTGTCTGGCTCTAAGACATTACTTCCCTTTCCCCTATCCTCTCACATTTCATCACCGCTCCCCTGTCCTCAAGTCTCATGTTCCCTCTACTCTAACTGGGCTTACTATTCCCCAAACTCTCCAAGCATTCTCCTCTAAGGCCCTGTTGCTCTGCCTGGTATGGCCCCACATCACACCCACCCACCCAGGGCTGGGTCCTTCTACCCATCTTGGGGACATCTGGGTTCTTCTAGCTTGCAGGGCAATGTTTTCTTTCATGAGCTAGTTCTGA